GCTGCTTTACTGTCTTCGTTTCCCCTCGTAAGGCGCTGGTCCAGATCACCGTCTTGCTACCGGATCCGCACTGTTTTCGAACCAGTTCCTAACGTCCTTCGGGTCCACCGACTGCCCAGGCCGTTTCGGTGAACCTTTGCTGCCACTCTTTCGGTCAAACGCTTCGTTGCCGCTTCTGGGGCCCAGTGAGTGCTCGCGCCGTAGATAAAAAACAAAAAAACAAAAAAAAAAAAAAAAACGACGGGAGGTCTTGGCCAGGCTCGGCCTCAGGGGGCCCTCACCGGGCCCTCAGAAAACCACTCTGGAGGAGAAGCCGGGTCTGGGGAAAGGGTCGGGACTTCCGGAGGGGGGGGGGGGGCGTACCCATCGGTCGGAAGAAGTAGATAGAACCATGAAGTGGAAAGGCGCTGAAGTAGATTGGGTGTCCGCCCGCCCCCTGAAGAGGACGGAAAAAGTGAAGCCAATTGATCATGGAAGTAGGAAGGCGCTTAAAGCAGATTGGGATCAAGCAGATTGGGATCTGGGACTCCAAAATCACTTCCTTTCAACGACCGACGGGTACGGTGCACATGGCCGTGCTCCCACACTTGTCCCAACCACGATCCCCATTGTACCAACACAAACACTACGGTGGTGCACATGGCCATGCTCTCGCCCCAGTCCCAGCGGCGCATCGCCCACGAAATCTCCCACGAGGCATGTCGAGCAGGCACGCTCTCGCGAAGAACGCAAGAAGCAGCACGTCGCACGTCTGGGAAAGGCAACGAGATGCCTTTGCTCCACGGAGCCTCTCCTGGGCCGCATTTTCCGACCAAGAGCTCGGGGCGGGTCCCGGCCGTGGCGGCGGTGGCGCGGGACGGGCGGCGGCATCGGTGCAGGATGAGGAGGAGGAGGAGGAGGAGGAGGAGGAGGAGGAGGAGGAGGAGGATGAGGAGGAGGAGGAGGAAGACAGGAGGAGGAAGAGGAGGAGGAGGAAGGAGAGGAGGACGAGGATGAGGATGAGGAGGACGAGGAGGAGGAGGACGAGGAGGTGGAGGAGGGAGCCGAGAGAAGAGGGAGCGACATAGGGGGAGGCGAGGCGGAGGACGGGGCGGAGGCGGAGGAGAGAAGTAGGAGGAGGAGGAGGAGGAGGCGGAGGAGAGGAGGAGGTGGAGGAGGAGAAGGAGTGAGGAGGAAGGAGGAGTGAGGAGGGAGGAGGGGAGGAGCGAGGAGGGGGAGGACGAGGAGAAGGGAGGAGGAGGGGGGACAGGAGGGGCACTCCGACACGCCTGGTCCTCGAGGGCGCCGAGGCCCTCGCAGAGCCACAGCGCCTCGAGGCCGTCGCGGCGGAGCTGCGCGCGCTGCCTCCGCGACCCCAGCGTGAGCTCCACGCCCGGCAGGGAGGCCAGCGCGGCAGCGCCCTGCGGCGCGGCGGCCCGCAGCGCGACGGCGCACTGGCCGTCGCCGCCGCGCAGGCCGCGCGGGTAGAGCCGCAGCAGCAGGGGAAATGCCTGCCGTGGGCGGCAGGAATCGACGCGGGGGGAGGCGGGGCATGTCAAGGTCCAAAGAGCGCGAGAGCGCGCGAGACGAAGCAAGAGGCGACCGCCGAGACGATAGACGCCGAAAGAAGAGAAGAACAGAAGCAAGCAAGAAGTACGCAGCGGCAGCGAGCAAGGAATGGTGCGGCAAAAGACAGGGAACGAGAGCAAGAGGCGAAGAAGAAAAAGGGAGACAGACGCAGAACGACGACGAAGAAGACGCCGAAGCCGAAGAAGAACGACGGCCGAAGAACGAAGACGAAGAAGAAGCAGCAGAAGACGATGAAAAAGAACCAGGAGCAGACAGGAAGACGACGGGTAGGCAGGAGCTAGCAGAAGAAGCACGAAGACGAAGAGAAGCAAAGAAGGAGAGAGCAGAAATGAAGAGCGGCGCGACAGACGCCGCGCCGCCTCAAAGCAGAAGCAGCAGAAGCCCGAGCCTACCCGCACTGCGCCGTACTCGCCTCCTCCCCCCTTCCGCTCCCGACGTGCCTACTCCTCCTACGTCCTCTACACCTCGCACCCCGCCGCCAGGCAGTACTATCCGCCGTGCCTCTCCTCACATCCCTCTCCTCCCTCCCTTCTCTCTCCTCCTCCTCCTCCTCCTCCTCCTCCTCCTACTCCTCCTCCTCCTCGCTCAGCCTCCTACTCCTCCTCCTTCCCTCCTCCTCCTCCTCCTCCTCCTCCTCCTCATCCTCTCCTCTCCTTCCTCTCCTTTCCTCCTCCTCTCCTTCCTACCTCCTCCCCTTCCTCCCTCCTCACTCCTCCCTCCTCCCTCCCCTACTCCTCTCCTCTCCTGCCTCCTCTCCTCTCCTCCTCCATACTCCTCTTCCTTCTCCTCTCCTTCCTCCTCCTCCTCTCTCCTCCGTCCCTCTCCTCTCCTCCTCCTCTCACCCTCCTCCTCCTCCTCCTCCTCCTCCTCCTCCTCTTCCTTCTCCTCCGAGTCCTGAGTTTTTGTAACAACAAAAAATCAAGACTCGGCGGGAGGTTCTTTCGGCCTCAGGGGGCGCCTACCTGGCCTTGGGACCGTCAAGAGATTACTGCAGATCAAGAAACAGTCCCGGGGAGTAGGTCGAGACCTCTGGGAGGACTCCTCTGGATAAGAAGGCCCTCTGCATGTTTGCAAACCAGCAGACCACCTCGACCTCGTGACCTGTAAAGCATGACAGCGAAGCTGCGCTACGGCGTGGGACAGCGGAAAGCATGACGGCCGGTGGGCCGCAAAGTCGTCGGTCCCATGCGTGCTATATTTCAACAAGCCTTGAAACGACGAGCAAGCGGGCCAGAGAAGTGAGACGGGCCCCGTGAATCAAGACCCGAGGCCAAAACAGAATGAGACACCCGAGAGGACTTGATCCTCTGGAGGAGAGCAGCGTACCCTGAGATCCAGGCACTCTCGCCTTGCTTCGGGCCCCGGGGCCATCACAGATCGATCCGGCTCGAAACATGCCGCAGAAAGATGAGGTCCAGGGCTCTTGTCATGATTGTTCGCGATGTTGCATTTTGTTCGCAACGCCGGAGCTCAGGGTCGTCGTGGTGGTGGTGGTGGTGGTGGTGGTGGTGGTGGTGGTGGTGGTGGTGGTGGTGGTGGTGGTGGTGGTGGTGGTGGTGGTGGTGGTGGTGGTGGTGGTGGTGGTGGTGGTGGTGGTGGTGGTGGTCGCCGCCGCCGCCGTCGTCGCCTGATTTCCGACGATCTGCGTTTTCCATCACAGCATTTTTCCTCGATTTCTGCCTCTGGGGTCCGTTAGCGGACCCGGGGCGCCAAGCTGGCCCTGGAGGGGGGGTCGGAACCTCTGGAGACGCGGATTGAAAACGTCATATCGGCGGGTGTCAGGGTCGTCGTGGTGGTCGTGGCCGTGGCCGTGGCCTTAGTCGTTGGCGTCGTCGTCGCCGCCGTCGGCCTTCTTCTCCTCCCCCGCTCCGTCCCTAGACTCCCGACGTCATTTTTTGTTCTGACCGTCGACCCCCAGAGGTCTCGACCCATTCCACGGGACCGGTGTTTCAGCTTGAGCCGTGGTTTGACGGTCCCGAGGCCAGGTCGGGGCCTCCAGAGGTCGAAAATGGCGACAAACTGCCCGCCGTGCTGTTGTTCATGACTCGAGGGGGTCTGGGTCGCAGAGTGCCGCAGAAAGAAAGAGTGGTCGGAGCCGGCTCTTCTTTCCGTGGCCGTTTCGGCGACGGTCCTGCACGAGGTCCCATGGCAGCCGTGGGCCCCCGAGGACCGAGAGAGAAGCGACGACAGACCTCCGCCTTGCTCTTGTTCGGTGCGCTGGGGAGGCCTGGGGGGAGCCCGGCCCCGGTGGCCACGCCGGCGGAGCGGGCCCGCGACCCCGGCAAGAGGTCGAGTAGGGGACTGGCTACAGAAGTGATACGTCCCAAAATTTGTTTCCTCGTCGACTCTGCGCAACATACGGAGAGTTCGCGGAGACCTACGAACCGCCGGCGTGCTTTTGGGCAGATCCGACAAGCATGACAATTTCGGGGCGAGCCGAGTCTGCGGTCGACCTCCCACCCGAAGGCCGGCGGGGCGGGCCCGCGTCCCCGGCCAGAGGAGCTGGCGGCGCAGCAGGCGGCTCTGCAGCGGGAGGCCGCCGCGGAGCGCGCGCCGCTGCGGCGGGAGGCCACGGCCCTGGGCGCGTCACTGCAGGAGCGCACTGGCTTGTTGAGAACCGCCCAGCCCCCAAAATACGAGCGGCAAAAAACAGAGAGCAGGGTCCTCGCGCGCCTCGGGAACAACGACGAGGGCAAAGAATGCCCCGAAGTCTTCGTGGCCAAGTCTCGAACCCTTGGCCACTCAGCGATTTGGGGATCGAGGTCTTGATTTCTCTCCGTCAGGAGCAGACCGTCCTCCGTCGCTGCCCCCTCCGTCGCCGAGGTTGGCCCGTGAGATCCAGGCGTTGCATTTTTTCACACCAGGCGTTTCATCTTGTTTCGGGCCCCGGGGCCATCACATATCGATCCGGCTGGGACAATGCCACAAAAAGATTGGGTCTGGGGCTGCGGTCACGATTGTTCGCGATGTTGTAACTCTTGTTCGCAACGTCGGCTCTCAGGGGAGCTGCATGCGCATCATTTTCCAGAGGCCCGCGCGGGCTCCCGAAAGGCCCGCGTTCGTGCCGAGTGTGTTCTCGCCCGGGAACGTAGCAACACACCCACGCGCAGCAATAGCAATGGTTTTCCATTGGCTGGAGCAGTCCTCTGGGCAACACTGCCTGCACCCTCGCTTCCGCAGCGGGTCCGAGCCGCCCTGCTGACGCAGAAATTGCTGCGGGAAGCAGCGGGGAAACAATCGCCATCGCTGTGCGCCACCACCGCCCCCACCAACCTCCGCTAGTGGGGAGACCAAGAAGCACCGATACCGCTACTCCCTGGACCTCCCTGGGCGAGTCCAGCGGTGGCGACGAGGGCCTCCCAGGAGGCCGAAGAAAGGGAAAACTTGTTTGGTCGGCGGGTCAGGAGCGGGCCCCTTCCGGTTAAGAGCTAGGCGGGGCGCGCGAAGCCCTGATTGGGGAGACAGGGCGCGGGCGGGCGGGGCCTCAGGCGGCCGGAGGTCCAGAGTACAGGCGGTGCCGAAGATCTTGCACAGGACAAGGTACGCCATGGACAGGAGCCGAAGAGAGGGAAAACAGGCGAAGGGGCAGAGGTATGGGCATCTTCTCCTCCTCCGGGCTGGTGTCCTCGGAGTCGAGCCACAGCCCCGCCTCCGAGGTCAGCGACAGGTACTCCAGCCGCTGCATGCAGCGCGCGATGCGCCAGTCGTGGCGCGGCGGCCCCCGCGCCGCCTGGCCCGCCTCCGCCGCCTCGCGGAGGCCCGCCGAGTGCAGCGGCAGCCGCCCGTCGCTGTCCGCCAGGGCCTCCTCGACCCGCCTCGCGGCCAGGGCCTCGGCGGAGCGCGCCGCCTCGCTGCACCTGGCGTCGCACCACTCCTCCAGCCGCCGCGCCTCCTCCTTGCGGGGGGGAGGGGGAAGCGGCGCTCGGGCAGAACCCCTCGAAGGCCCGAGGAGGTCATGCCTGTGCCACACATCGTGTCCTTCCGATCGTTGTCATTATCATCTTCTTCTTACAACTACAAGGAACAGTACTCTTGATGCTTTACTACCGCCGTTTGCGAAATAAACGCCCCAAATAAAAAGCCGCAAAGACCCACCCTGGACCCCGTATCCGAATGTTGGCCGACGACCGCGCCAGAAGAGAGCGCGAAGTGTTCCGAAACAAACGCCCGTTTTTGCAGGGGGCGGTTGCTTGCCCGTCGACCTTGAAATACGGGGCGAGGGTGGGCGCGCGCTGACGCATTGCTACCCAGACTTGAGACGGGCGTTTATTTCGCAACCCACGGTGCAATATCAGTACGATATCTCATGAATCATCTCATGATTGGGCTCCTGGGCAATGGCGGTGCACCGCTCCTCCAGCCGCGCGAGGGCGGCGGACACCGCCTGCTGCTCGGCCTCCGCCGTGCCGCGCAGCTCGAGGCTCAGCCGCGCGGCCGCCTCATCGGCCGCGCGAAGCCGCGCCTCGACCTGGAGGGCAGGACACAGGATCTCGAGAAACCTTCCACGAGAAGCCCAACCCTGAGACCTCAGGACGTCCACTGATGTTTGGTGTGGGAACGTCACGCTTTCCATCGCACAACCATTGAAGCCCAAGAAACCCAGGGCACCCTGGAGGCAAGCAGGGTGTTTCCATGGGTTTCCATTGTAACCATCCTCAGAACAAGCACCCCGACGAGCACAGGCGTCTAGCAAACGCACATCAGGAAGGCATCGAACAGGGCAGGGCCCTGTCAGTTTAACGCCAAGGACTGTTTCAGAGGCCTCCCAAATGGAGTCCGAGTAGATGGGGTCCGAGGATCACGCTGCATCGACGATGCATCGCCGATGCATCGCCGATGTATCGGCGATGTATCGGACACCTCGGCGATGCACCGGCGACGTCGGCGTGGAGAAATCGGGCTCCCCATCGAGCCGCATCCCCGATGCATCGACGATGCGGAGTGATCCTCCGACCTCATCTACTCCGACCCCATCTAGGATGCCTAGATGTCTACGGTCGGGAACGTTTGGACAGCATGCCGCTCCGCCGGCTCTGGCCCACCACGCTTCGGCGCGACACGCTATCCACTGCCCAGTGCCCAGGCTTCAACGTCCCGCGGCGCGGAGCGGCACGCCGTCTGCTCGCAAGGCGTAGCGTGTCATTGGGGCCGCCGCCGCGACACGCTGTGGGCAAAAGTTCCCGACCGCAATAACCGCCAAACATAGAAAAAGAAAAAACGGCATCCAAGAAATCCGCGCGGAGCGCCAACAGCTTATGTTTATGACGATTTCTCTCCTCCGAAAACATGAGGGGGTCACCGTGGCCTCCTCCTCATCGTCCGCCTCCTCATCGTCCGCCTCCTCCTCCTCCTCCTCCTCCTCCTCCTCCTCCTCCTCCTCCTCCTTCTACTTCCTGAGGGTCGACGACCTGCGTCAGGGCGGCGGAGCCCGCGGCGGCCTCCTGCCGGGCGGCCCGGCACTCCGCACCTGCGGCCTCGTGCCGGGTGTCGCTCTCCCGCCAGCGCCGCTCGAGGCCGTCGCGGAGCTCCTGCGGGCGCCGCGTGGGGCCCTGACCCCCTCGAGTCGTGAACAAAAACCATGGGACGCACGAGGACATGCTAGTCCTGTATGCCTTCCTTGGAGGCGCGCATGCGACCTGGACACATAGCTTGTAGTGTATCGTTTCCCGAGCGGTGTGGCCAGAAAGCGCCCGCCACGACACATGTACTATAAGATTTCTCGGTGTGCGCGTCGCCCCTGGGGGGGGGGCGACGCGCACATGGCATGGTGAGGTGACGCCGCAAGCACGGCGGGCGATGTGTCGCTATTTTCGGCCTCTGGAGTCCCGAGCGGTCCTCGGGACCGTCAAGAAACGGCTCAGGCTGGAAAACTGGTCCCGTGGAACGGGTCGAGACCTCTGGGGGTCGACGCTATGAAAAGAACACGACGTCGGGGGTCTGGGAACGGAGCGGGGGAGGAGAAGAAGGACGACGGCGGCGACGACGGCGCCAACGGCCACGGCCACGGCCACGGCCACGGCCACGGCCACGGCCACGGCCACGGCCACGGCCACGGCCACCACGACGACCCTGACACCCCCGCCGATATGACGCTTTCAATCCGCGGCTCCAGAGGTCCCGACCTCTTCTCCAGGGTCAGCTTTGCGCCCCAGATCCGTTTTGATGGCCCCAGTGCCCGCAAACAAGCCCCCGAGGCCGAAACCGATGAATAACGCCGGAATTGAAAAAAACATCTCGTCAGAAATCTGGGGACGACGGCGACGGCGGCGGCGGCGGCGACGACCACCACGACTACCCTGAGATCCGACGTTGCGAGAAAATGTAACATCGCCAAAGAAAAAAGCAAAACAAAAAAACGACTGGAGCCCTAGACCCCACCTTTCTGCGGCATTCTTCAGGCTGCATCGATATGTGATGGCCCCGGCGCCCGAAACCAGACGAAAACGCCCGGTGAGGACAAAATGGCAACGCCCGGGTCTCTGGAACGACGGCGACGGCGACGGCGGCGACGACCTGGACCTGCGACGTCCTGGTGTTGTCAAGACGGGGTCCCAGAAGCTTCGACCCTTTCCCCAGGGCAGGTGCTTCATCCTGAGTCGTTTTGTTGACGGTCCTATGGCCCGGCGAGGGCCCCCCGAGGCCGGACGCGACGGAAGACCTCCCGTCCTGATTTTGTTCAGGACGTGAGCCGGTCTGGGGAAGGAGAGCGGTATGCTCCTGCAGTGACGCGCCCAGGGCCGTGGCCTCCTGCCGCAGCGGCGCGCGCTCCGCGGCGGCCTCCCGCTGCAGCGCCGCCTGCTGCGCCGCCAGCTCCTCTGGCCGGGGACGCGGGCCCGCCCCGCCGGCCTTCGGGTGGGAGGTCGACCGCAGAATCGGCTCGCCCCGAACAAGAATACGTCGGCGGTTCGTAGGTCCACGCGAACTCGACGCATGCTTCGCAGTTTCGACGAGGAAACGCGTCTCTGTGGCAAATCCATTCTGGAGCAGGTCCCCTACTCGACCTCTGGCCGGGGGCGCGGGCCCGCTCCGCCGGCTTGGCCACCTGAGCTGCATCGCCCAACGAGTTGCAGGCAATGGACGATCAAGTCGACATCGCCCGCAAAGCCGGTGCCCTGGCAGCCCACCTCATGCCGAGTTGGCCAAGGCTGGATCTCGATAGCGTCCCTCGAGTCCCTCATTGCACCGATCTTGCAGACGTGATGCAGCGGATTTTTGCGTGGATTTCTGTCTATGCAGAATCCCGAGACTTCGAAATAAGGAGCGAAATGTTCCACGACAATCTTGCCCCATCCCATTGTTTTCCGAACGAAATCCGCTCTGCGATGTTGGCGCCATGAGAGTCCCTCCTCCTCCCCGTCAGCAGGCGTCAAATGCAACTGGCATTCTGCAGGAGAGGCTTTCGCGCCGCTCCTCTTGGAGGTGCCCGCGCTGCTAATTTAAAGGGCAGATGCTGTGAGCGACGGACGCCTCCGAATAAGAGCAACTGTGCAGGAGAGTTGCCCGCCGTCTGGGCAGCGCAAGCACTCGCTTAGTAAAGTCTTCTCGTGCACCGACGGTACGCTGCCATATGCCTGCTCCAGGTGCAAGGCGTGTACAACTGTAGGGAAACGGGCCACGGCATAATCACAAAAACTCGGAGGTCCGCGCGGATTTCTCGGACCAGCGCTGGGGCCCCCTGGCGGCGCCGCCGGCGCCGCCCCTGGCGCGCTCCGCGCGCCAGGGAGGGGCGTCCAGCACCGATCCGAGAAAGCCGCGCGGACCTCCGAGTTCGATGTTTATGTCACTGGTCGTTCCCCTGCACGTGCCTGCTCCGGATGCAAGGCGTATACAACTGGAGGTAGATTCCGCAAGCCTGCCGAGGGTGGCCTTACGGACACTCACGGACACGGCTCTCAAGAAGACAGCAAGTTCTAACTGTGCCGCCGCAGCATAGAGCAAGATCTCGAAGGGTAAGCACCCTCAGTTGGCCCAGGTACAGGTGAAGCCTTTCAAGTTGTTGCTCGCTTGATTGTGGGCAGTGGAGCGCTGGTGAAAAAAATCCTCCTCCTCCTCCTCCTCCTCCTCATCATCATCATCATCATCACCACCACCCCACCACCACCACCACCACCATCATCATCCTCATCATCCTCATCCTCATCCTCTCCTCACATCATCATCATCATCCTCCCCTCCCTCCGCCTCCTCCGCCTCCTCCGCCTCCTCCTCCTCCTCCTCCTCCTTCTCCTCCTCCTCCGCCTCCGCCTCCGCCTCCTCCTCCTCCTCCTCCTCCTCCTCCTCCTCCTCCTCCTCCTCCTCCTCCTCCTCCTCCTCCTCCCCCCCCCTCTCCTGGACAATATCCTCCCAGGGGGTCCTCGCGCAGGGACGACGCCTGCGCCTGCTGCTGCCGCTGCATCTGGTCCATCACGCCGGCCCCCAGCTCGTTCACCTGGCACCGACGCCACGCCCCGGACGATACTCCTCCCAGACATGCAGCGTCTCGATTGTGTTCGAGACACGGGCCCCCGACCTCGCGACCACGTCCCCGGAACCAGCTGCCGAGTCGGCTCTTTGACGGCCCCGAGGCCCAGCAGGGGCCCCGACAGGCCGAAAGCGATGAAGACCTCCGTCCCGATCTTGCTCGAGACGCCCGATCTCTGGGCTCCCGTCTGCCGAGCTTCGCCCTCGCCCCGTGAAGATCGACGCGGAGGCTTCCGGACGGGACGCTTCTGAAGAACTGGTGGGTGCGAGGCCTGCGCTGGCCCGCCTTCCCCAGAATTGGCCCGGCTGCTGGCCAGCTGCCCAGCAGTGCACAGCAGAGCGGTGCGATGCGAAGCAAAGCAACGCCCAGCAAACCAAAGCGAAGCAATGCCAAGCAAAACAAAGCAACGCAATGCAACGGAATGCAGCGCAGTGGAAAGCAATGCAGCGCAATGCAAAGCGGTGCCTGGCAACGCAGAACAATGACACGCAATGACAGGCAATGCAAAGCAGAGAAACGCCAAGCGAAGCAAAGCCACGCAAAGCAAAGTGATGCAAATCAAAATTATGCTAACGGAGTTCCCCACATAAAGAGACTAACGGTTTCGTGGGACCCATTTTCTTGATGCCCTCCTCGCTTTGGCGGGGCCCCGCTTGGGAGGGGCACGAAACCATGTAAATATTATGGTATTCCGATACCCTCCTCGCTCAGGCGGGGCCTCCCTGGAGGGGTGGGAGGGGCACGAAACCATGTAAATAGTATGGTATTCCGATACCCTCCTCGCTCAGGCGGGGCCTCCCTGGAGGGGTGGGAGGGGCACGAAACCATGTAAATAGTATGGCATTCCGATACCCTCCTCGCTCAGGCGGGGCCTCTCTGGAGGGGTGGGAGGGGCACGAAACCATGTAAATAGTATGGTATTCCGATACCCTCCTCGCTCAGGCGGGGCCTCCCTGGAGGGGTGGGAGGGGCACGAAACCATGTAAATAGTATGGTATTCCGATACCCTCCTCGCTCAGGCGGGCCTCCCTGGAGGGGTGGGAGGGGCACGAAACCAGGTAAATAGTATGGTATTCCGATACCCGCCTCGCTCAGGCGGGGCCTCCCTGGAGGGGTGGGAGGGGCACGAAACCATGTAAATAGTATGGTATTCCGATACCCTCCTCGCTCAGGCGGGGCCTCCCTGGAGGGGTGGGAGGGGCACGAAACCATGTAAATAGTAGGGTATTCCGATACCCTCCTCGCTCAGGCGGGGCCTCCCTGGAGGGGTGGGAGGGGCACGAAACCATGTAAATAGTATGGTATTCCGATACCCTCCTCGCTCAGGCGGGGCCTCCCTGGAGGGTGGGAGGGGCACGAAACCATGTAAATAGTATGGTATTCCGATACCCTCCTCGCTCAGGCTGGGCCTCCCTGGAGGGGTGGGAGGGGCACGAAACAATGTAAATAGTATGGTATTCCGATACCCTCCTCGCTCAGGCGGGGCCTCCCTGGAGGGGTGGGAGGGGCACGAAACCTGATAAATAACAGGTGATGCGAATACCCTCCTCGCTCAGGCGGGGCCTCCCTGGAGGGGTGGAGGGGCACGAAACCTGAGAAATAACAGGTGATGCGAATACCCTCCTCGCTCAGGCGGGGCCTCCCTGGAGGGGTGGGAGGGGCACGAAACCATGTAAATAGTATGGTTTTCCGATACCCTCCTCGCTCAGGCGGGGCCTCCCTGGAGGGGTGGGAGGGGCACGAAACCATGTAAATAGTATGGTATTCCGATACCCTCCTCGCTCAGGCGGGGCCTCCCTGGAGGGGTGGGAGGGGCACGAAACCATGTAAATAGTATGGTATTCCGATACCCTCCTCGCTCAGGCGGGGCCTCCCTGGAGGGGTGGGAGGGGCACGGAACCATGTAAGTAGTATGGTTTTCGGTTTGGAGTGGTATGGAATGGTATGGTAGGTATGGTATGGTACGGTATGGTATGATATGGTATGGTATGGTACTGGAGGTATGGTATGGTATGGTACGGTGTGGCATTGGTGTGATATGGTATGGTATGCTATGGTACGCCATGGTTTGGTATGGTACGGTATGGTACGTATGGTGTGGTATGGTATGGTACGGTATGGTACGTATGGTGTGGTATGGTATGGTATGGTATGGTATGGTATGGTATGTGATGGAGCGGGAGGTGGGTGGGAAGGAGAGGGTGTTCTGGGAAAACAAGAACCCCACTCAGGATGTGGGGAACAAAGCGAAGCCATGCTAAGCAATGCCAAGCATTCCTTGCTTGGTTACTCACTTGGGACGCCTTCCCCTAATTCCCGCGCGCGGGGTTCACCCTGAAAGGGTTTGCAGGCGTTTTTCAATTCTGGGTTTCGACATTTGGCCACTGGGGAGGGGCCCTGACCAGTCGCCAGAAACCAGCCGCCAAAAGCAGCAAAGATCTGGTCAAGGGGGGGGAGAGGGGGGGGCGGACGGGAGCCCGCGCCGATCGGCGAATACATGAATGAAAAAACTGTTTCTGAAAGTCTGGGGCCCTATTCGGGTCTCGAGGTGCCCCCGGAGGGTCTTCGGACGCCTCCGAAGGCCCTGGGGGAGCTCCATGGACGTCTGAGGGTCAGGATCCCAGGCGGCACTTCAACTTACGGATCCTCCGTCCTCCCTCCTCCTTCCTCCCCCCTTCCTCCTTCCTCCTTACCCCCTTCCTCCTTCCTCCTCACCCCTTCCTCCTTCCTCATTCCTCCTTCCTCCTTCACCCGTCCTCCTCCCTCATTCATCTATCCGTCCACCTTCCTCCTTCCTCCTCCCTCCCCCGCGCGCGCCGCGGGGGGGGGGGGGCAATGAGCAGGAGCGATCGCAACCTCTGCGTGGGCCAATCGAGATGCCTCCGAGAGGCCACCCCCCGCCCCCACCGTGAGCACGCGCTCCCGTGTCTCGTGCCGTTCGCGGCGCGCGCGCGCGAGGCTCTGCACAAAAGCGGTGGCCCTGGAAGAGGCGGAGCCCGCCTGTCCTTCCTTCCTTCCTCCTCCTCCTCCTCCTCCTCCTCCTCCTCCTCCTACTCCTCCACCTCCTCCTCCTTCCTCCTCCTCCTCCTCCTCCTCCTCCTCCTCCTCCTCCTCCTCCTCCTCCTCCTCCTCCTCTTCCTTCTCAAATCATCATCATCCATCATCATCATCATCATCATCATCATCATCATCATCATCATCATCATCATCATCATCATCATCATCATCATCATCATCATCAACATCAACATCAACAGCATCATCATCATCATCAGCATCAGCATCAGCATCATCATCATCATCATCATCATCATCATCATCATCACCCATCAGCACCCATCATCATCATCATCAGCATCATCATCAGCATCATCATCGTCATCATCATCATACTCATCGTCATCGTCATCATCATCATCATCATCCTCATCCTCATCCTTCTGCTCCTCCTTCTCCACCTCCTCCTCCTCCTCTCCTTACTCTTCCTCCTGATCGTCGTCGTCATCGTCACCCTCGTCACCACCTCGTCAGCATTATCATCATCACCATCATCATCCTCGTCATCAACTGAACAACATACTAATCGTCATCAGCATCATCATCAGCATCAGCAACATCATCATCAACAACAGCAGCATCATCAGCAGCAACATCATCAGCATCATCAGCATCATCAGCACCGTCACCATCAAGAACAACAACCTCATCATCAACAAATATAACGACGACGACGACGACGACGACGACGACGAGGACAACAGCAGCAGCAACGGCAACAACAACAAAAACAGCAACAGCAATAGCAACAGCAATTTCAACAACCACAACAACAGCAACAACAATAGCATCAGCACCAGAACAGCAACAGCAACATCAACAACCAAAAACAACAACAACAACATAAACAAACACACGAAACAACAACAACAACAACAACAACAACAACAACAACAACAACAACAACAACAACGACAACAACAGCAACAACAATGACAACAACGACAACGGCAGCAGCAGACAGCAGCAGCAAAAACGACAACACCAACAACACCACCCTACTCATCCTCACCATCATAATCATCATCATCAGCAGCAGCAGCATCATCAGCATCAGCATCTTCATTGTCAGCAGCATCATCCTCATAATAATGAGAATCAGCTTCATCATCATCATCATCATCATCATCATCATCATCATCATCATCATCATCATCGGCATCATCATCGTCGTCGTCACCATCAACACTTGCATATGCATCAGCATCTGCACATGCATCAGAATACTCACCACCATCATCGTCAGCATCACCGTTGCTATCGAAATTATCGACATGGCCATCGTCATCAGGATTGGCATCCTATAATCTTTTTTTGTGCTCATCATACTCGTGAGCCTCATCGTCACCATCATCAGCCTCATCAGCATCAGCATCATCATCATGTTTGGCATCCTCCTCGTCCTCCTCCTCCTACTCCCCAGCAGCATCGTCAGCATCGTCATCGTCAGCGTCGGCATCATCAGCATAATCACCGCCATCGTCATACTCGCCGTCGTCGTCAACATCATTACGCTCGTTACTCCACGGGCCTGGACTGCCACGCCCGCCAGCTTCTGGGCCAGGCTGTCGCCGCCCGTCTCGAGCGCCTCTACCCGCGCCTGGCCGAGCGGGCGGCCGGATTGCCGCCAGAGGCCGCCTCGTCCTGTCCTGCCCAGCGCAGACCGCAGGGAACACAGCTTGTAGGCGTAACACCAGGAGACGGCTGCGAGAGGTGGGCGGTCGAGCACGAGACCCGCAAGGGAAAAAGAAACGGACAAACTGCTTACCCTCCCACCCTCCTTCCCCCCCCCCGTTCCTCGTCGCACAGCTCATCCACCTGCTCCTCCTCCTCATCCTCCTCACCTATCATCACCACCACCACCATCACCACCATCATCATCATCACCATCATCATCATCATCATCATCATCATCATCATCATCATCATCATCATCATCATCATCATCATCATCATCACCATCACCATCACCATCCTCATCATCGCCACCACCTCCACCACCATCATCATCACCATCATCATCATTATCATCATCCTCATCAGCAGCATCATCCGCATGATCATCCCTCATTATGTGATTCATCCCTTCCTTCCTGCCTTCCATCATTCCTCCTCATCACGGCCGACTTTCTCATCCGCCGCATTGACACCCGAGCTCCAAGCAAATAACACTTGACCCCCCTGTGCCTGGCCCTCGTCCCCCGTTCTCACTCGATGCCCCCCTCTCCTTTCTCCTATACCGCCCACCTCCGAACCCTTCCGCACTCCGTCATGTTTTAAAAACTCGGCTCGGGGGATGGTCGAACGAGACCGCGAGAAAGGAGCTCTGGCGACTCCAGATCCGTGTAGATGAGATGTTGGACCCCGTCTCGAGGTATGTCCGAAACCTTCCAGCGAAGCCCATGGATGCACATCCCTCTTGTGGACTACAAACTTGTCGGCCACTGGCATGTATACATGATGCTTACTACCCCTCCCCACGGTGTCAGTCAGTCGCATGTAACGTTCTTCCGCACGTTCGACTGTGTACGAACGCGGACTACTGCTGGCCAACCTCTACATTCTGGTCCCCCTTG